TGTTACGTATGATTTCCCAAAACTTCTGATATCTACAATAATCAGTAATGACTTTCAGTTTTGATCTCTCTTTCAAAGATTTTAGTTAAACTGCAAAATATGTCATATATTTTAACTTAAATAAGAGTAAATTTCTCGCAACAAATAACAAAAATATTAAATCAAACAAAATATAACAACTTGAGATAGGCTCTTCTATGAATTGAATAATTGTTCTGTTTGCAACAAAATAAACATTTGGATATGTAAAGACATTCTGTTTTCGTGATTCCAAGAATTTATCAAATTGCAAACTTGTACTTGAGGAAATTATTGCTTAAAAGTTAGAAATGATAAGGATGTAGGTAGAAATTGTGAATTGGGTAATACACATTACAACAACAATAACAACATTCAGCGCTTAAGTTTTAGCGAATGTTTGTAAATTTTGTCAATGAAAACCGTTAGCTGACTTTAAACGTTAATAACACATTAATTTGAATTCCTTAATCACGCTCAAAACAATCATAACAGCAATAAGAACAAACATGGAAAGGGGAACTGAATAAATGAGCGGAAAAGTGTTAAGTAATACAGCAAACATCTGGGAAAATAACTGAATTAAGAATAAAAGCGGAAGAAAATGGGTTAAAATTTACGTGACATAGAAGTTTTAGTGGACAGAGAGAGGAAGAGAAATAAATGAAAGTGAAAACGCTAAGCGAAAGCAAATGCACAAGTAGTATGATGCAGTATAATATCATTTGTTGTGATGTGATATTTTTCAGAAATACACGCACAGGATTTAACGATCGATGCTATTATATTAAGAGGTTATGGTTTCGTCGAGTAAAACGCACTATTTTGGATATTTTTAATAAAAATATATATTATTTAAATTTTAGTATTCGAAGATACATATTTATAAAGATTTTGTAGAATTTTCAAAGAAAAATTCAAAACTCGGTCACATGACTTCATTTCCGGCAGTCCCGTTTGAACTAAGACCATTAACTAGGTATTGACGAGAAAACAAATAAAGGAAAATAATCATTAAACAAATTAAATAAGACAATAAAAACTTTTTGTTTTTAAGCCGTGAAACGCATTTAACTCTTAAATATCTATACATTATACCCTGAACGGGTTTATTAAATTTGTATATAGTATATAAATAAATGATCAGCGTGGCGAGCTGACTCGATTTAGCCAAGTCCGTTGTCCGTCCATCTGTACGTCTGAATATATGCAACTTATCCCTCAGTTTTTAAGATATCGATCTGAAATTTTACCCTCCCTATCTCCAAGAAGCTGTCTATTTATCAATATCGGACAGCATACTAACATAAGCAGATACAACTGAGGTGCAGTTCTGGGTGCTAAAAACTTCATGGCAAACTTTATACACCCCGTTCAGGGTATAAAAAATTATCTTAATACAAATTTTGATATTAAGTGAATTCTCTTTCTTTAAAGCTTTTTTTTCCGCTTTAGCAAATATTTATTATAAAATTTACGGTACTTAAATAAGTGGATTTGGCATCCCCTTCCACCAGCGTAAGCTATCTAGTTCTCGTATATATGAATATTTTCCCGAATGCACCCACGGACTTCTACCACTTCTGGTTGTTAGAGATCAACATCATATGGTTTCTTGCCAAAGGCCACCGATATTTGATACACAGCTCAATTTGGCCAAAAGGATAAGGGCGACCGCAAAGGGGTTATGCAGAATTTTGTTTTTTTTTTGTTTTTGTTTTTTTATGGATAGGCCAAAGGTGGGTGTAAATCTTCGAAAGATATTGATGACAGTGTACATATGTATGTTTGTGTGTGTTTAGTTTCGTGATACACATAGCCATATGTATGTGTAGTGCCGGTTCATAAATAACAAGTTTCGCGTTTGGTAGTTATTTTTGGTCTTGCTGTCGTACTGGTTATTGTTGCTGTTGTACTGGTTATTGTTGGCTACCTGTTGTACATGCCTTTGACTAAAATTACCAAAAGCTTTGGTTATATGCATGTGTCTGTGGTTTTTCTAGAAAATCACACTAAATCTCATTCGGGAACTTTAAAGCTTGAATGGTTTGTTAAATCAATTCCACCTGAAACATTTTGTATTTGATTATCTCGGCGTGTGAGTAACTTTACGGACTAAAGCATATAAGCAGTGGTTCAACTGTACTGCTGTAACTATAACTGTGACTGTTTCAAAGCAAGTGGGAGTATTAATTTCAGCCATTTATCAGTAAGAATATGCCGCATATTTTCTTAATATTGGCAGTTTAGATGATCACATTTGCTATCTAAAATCCGCATTTTTTTCAAGTTAATGAACTTTAATTTTATCTTCCAATTAGCAATATCAAATGTTCAGACAAAATGCATATTTGCAAATTATCTTCCACCGTTTTATAACAAAAGCCAAAAACAAGTCTAGTGACTGCGATAAATGAATGAGAGTAAAGTAGCCAAAAGCGCATACAAGCATACTTGAGAAGGTATATAGTATCTGGTAGTCAACTACCTAAATGGCTACGACAAGAGATAAATATCTTTTTAGTCAAGTTGTTATTATCGTCCATTGACTCTGATTGAATTGGATTATCAACTGCCCACAATGCGCAAAGCTGGTATGCTATAAGCACACATACAGATACATTCAAACTCTTGCATTCGAAGCCGAAATTCTCCTGTTGTCGCAACGTCAATATTAACATACTGTGGCGTTAAATCTGTCAAATGTCAAACAAGGCAAGCAAATGGCATGGCTGTGAGTAGCGTGCACCTACACACCAGCAAACAAGCAATTAAACAAGCAGGCAACACGATTTAGAGAAAGTGTTGGAAAATTTAATTAAATGACAACTTACACAAAGACATCAAGGCACTTGAGTGGCAGCAGCAGAAGCGATAATCTTTCGTTTGACAATTTGCATGTGTATTTAAAAACACTTGGATGTAGTAAATACTATTGTACATTCTTATATTACTTAATTACTCAACAATATGCTTACATACTGACTTTAGTTCGAAAATTTATTTGCGTTGTCGGTATGTAATGTGAATTCCGTACGCTTGCGTATGTAAATTCAGTAAAGACAATGATTGACTATTGTTGTACAACAATTATGCAAATTTAATTTCGACGATTTCTCGTAATTTTGTCAGTTATAGGCTTGCAACCACAGCTGACTCCTGTCACATTTTCCATTACCTGTTGGGCAGCGGAATAATGGTTTGGAAATTTCTTAGGAATTCGGATATTTTAGTACCCGGCTTTGCATAAATGACATGCTCAAAAAAAATATGTATAAAATTCTTCACAGCTATGGGCACTACCGAAGCAACTGGTAAAATGTATAGGGCGAAAGGACTCTGCATTTACTTATATATGCTCTTCCGTTGCGTTGTAGTAAATGGCAAAGCAAATAATGGTGTGAAATTCAATATCAGGTCGATATGTAAGTTATAAAAATTTCGATGGGCAATACCACACTCTTGTTGTGTGGAGTTTTCTTAGTTACGGGTAAGAATGCAGACACATAGGCGGCATTAAAAATATTTTTTTTACATCTTTTGCATATATAATAAAAAATAAATAAATACAATATTTTGGAAACAGTCAGCCGGTTGTATGAATTTATATAATAAAGTATAAAAGCCTATATAAATATGAAGTTTCAGGCATAAAAATAATAGAATTTAATATATGTGCACGAATATGAAAATGCGTTGCATAATTTTTTTGTGAATTCAATTCAACTTTGAAAAATGTTAAACAGACCTACGTCATTCAATTACACTTCATATTCAAAGACAAATAATAAAATTATTGCTTATAACGTTTAAACCGTTATTTTAATTTATTGCTGTGTAGCTTTTATATCCCAAATAAATAGAAATAAAGTGCTTGTGTAGAAATATTTTTCATTTGACGAGATATCTCCAAGAAATTTGAAATGAATTATTTCCCAAGGCAACGGTGCTTCTCCGAAGAAATTGTTCAAATCGAATGACTATAGCATATAGCTGCCACAAAAACTTATTCATTTGACGAGACATGTTCAACCAGTTTGGCCTGAGTTATTGTCTAAAGCAATTTTTTGCTTCCTCATCTTAATATTTATGCAACATCCTCAACTGCAAAAGCTTAACTTTTAGCCACTTCTTAGTATTTATGGTAATTTGTAAAAACGCCTAAAAGGGACGCGGCCGCGAGCAGTATCTAATCCTAAAATATGTACATATTTATGTATGTATGTATGTATGTATGAATATATACTCTTATATAGAGTGGTGGCGTCGCCTGCAAAATTTGTTATATATAAATTTGATTTTATTTTAGTTACTTACATAAGTTGCTGAACTTGACTTTTATTTGGCTTACTACTGTTTGGCTGATATTTCGGCAACCCTAATACAGATACATAAAGATTATGTGTATATAACCTTAGAATAAGAAACTTATTGAAATGAAGTCCTCTTTGCTTCCGCTGACAATTTTTCTTCTTCTATTATGACTACCATTACAGACAACACTTTGCTTGCCCCTGCATTATTATCCTAGTTTCATATTGTCTTTTGTTAGCTGTTTTTATATTTTATTGTCATTAATTTTTGGTTGACAATCTGACAATGGATTTAATGTCCAATGGCGACAACTGCTGTCGTATTATATCGTATTCTGATATTGCACTTGCATGCAAATAAGCCACTTAAGCAAATTGCTACCGAAAATTAATGTAATAGTGTATGTTTTATTATTTTGAGACTTACGCTTGAAAATTTATTTAACATTTTTGTTATATTTTTTTTTTTTGACTGTTTCCAATTAAAAAAATATATATTAAGCTCCACTATATAATAACTCGACTTTCTGAATTTCTTTAAAATATTAAACCCAATGTGAAATTTTTTACTTACATGAACGGCTGTGTACGTAGAGTATTACTAAAATTATAAAAACTTATACTTACTTATTCATGTTTTGTACACTTCTGCGTTGAATTTTTGTATGCTCCACAGCTTTAAATGTAACAGTTTCTTGTTAGTTTTTATATATTGATATTAAGCAAATCATCACCACACGCTGTTTATACAAAATCGATTTAAATTTTTGTTTTAAAATATATTACGGTATTTTATTTATTGATCACTTCTCACGAATTAACGATTCAAATCAATTTTTCTGAGTTAGTTTCACGCAAGTAAGCAAGTAATCACATATAAATATTAATTACTTGCATTAAGACTGAAAACAATAACAAATATGCAATTATTTTAATTGCAATAAATTGTTTATTTTAAACATATTTTGATATTAATTTAAACTTTTAATAATTTCTTTTTCCAATTTTTATTTAATTTTATTATAGAAATTTAATTAATTTAAATTAGAAAAAAAATTATCTTTGGAATGCTATCTGAACTAATTTGATATCATATTTTGATTATTTTCAAATTTTAATTTTTTTTTCAATTGAACTGGTATTTTAATATTTTTAAATTTGTCCAATATTTTTAAGCATTTTAAAAAGTCATATTGCTTAAAAACTTATTTAATAAAATTTGTATTTTTTTATTTCATACAAATTAATATTTCTCAGCATAAATTTCACTAAATATACTTAATTGAATTAGTTTAAATTTTGATTAAACGCTTCACATATTTTCCCGTCACTGCCTCTACTCCAGTCTCTTATACTCAATATTTTGCCACTTGAACACCTAAAAAATTTTTGTAATTTCACTTAATCAGAACTCGCTTCATCAATGTACTCAGTTAAGGTGAAAATCATACACACAAAAAAGATCAGCAATTAAGATTGAATTAAAATTTATCGCGCAATCCGGCACTAAGGACCATCGTGTAACGCGGACAATTTAAAATTGCCGTACAACACGTCGGCTGAGTAACGTCCGACCCACGAATTTACGCTTATTCTTCTTCGAGTACATTCGTACTTGCCGCGTGCGAAATGGTTTCCGATCAAATGTTCTACACACAACCGGCAACAGAATCAAACTGAATACAAATAAGCCAAACAACGTCTGGCGAATGCCGTGATACTCGTACAAGCGTCTTCAGCCGACGACAGTTTCGGCCGCTGCCTCTGCTACTAACTCTGCCGCTGTAGGTCGCACAGAGCAGCGATGTCGAGATAGATGGCGACGCCGACAAGTTCGAAATAGCGGCGAAGAGCGCAAAGCGAAAAAGCAAAAGCAAACAAATTTTTGCAGCATATTGCTTGTTGTTATTGTCGTTGTTGCTATTTCTGTTGCTACCAATTAAGTTCAACTGAGCAAAAGCGTCGCCTTATTGTTAATAGTTGAGATTGACTGCTCTTTTGTCGCAATTGGCCTTTACTAAACAAACAACGGTGGGAAAAACTAAAAAAATACTTGAGTTAACAAAAAAGCGCAAAGATCAGCTGTTTGATGAAGGTCGTCGCTGTTAGAACTTTGATTTCTTTTCCCTTTTGTATTTTGTTTAATTTGCGTTGGCATTGCTTCTTTGCACGTTTTATGTTGGGCATTTATTTTGTTGTGTATTTATAGTTATCCCTTATCAGGTTGTCGCACTGTCAACTTCATGCATACAAACACACCAACATACATCAGGTGACACTGTTGCTTCATTCACTGTTACACTTTGCTTTACTTGAATGAATTTCACATGCTGCTTTCAATGGCTGCCAAATGCATTGTTCTTTGTTTTTTTTAATATTTGTTTTCAACAGCCATAAATTATCCAAAAACATGATACAAATAAGTGGTGAGTTTTGCTGTGTTTCCTTTTGATATTTTTTATGGAAAATTTTACGCATTATCTCAAATTGATTTTTAATCGACATTTGATGTTTCTTTGTCAGTTTTTCTACTATCTCCAAAAATTACGTTTTGCTACGCAGGAAAAAATATGGAAAAACGTTCTCATTTAAGATAATACCACACTAATTATATGCATGTCAATGTAATGCCGTAGACGAACTTGACGGAAATTTCAAAATCTCTTTTTCGGAACTGCAGCTCTGGTAATAACGGCACTGAATGGCGTAGGAAAATATTTTTGACAGCTTTAGTGATTGCTATCCGGGCGTTAGAATTTTTTTAATAGAAATGTAAATAAATAAGCCTGCACATTGGACGAGATAGGTTTTGATTGATTTTTTTAAAGCTGCAACAATAAAAACAACAAATACAGCAAGTTAATTTTGCAATGCAAGGAGGATCGCTTCTTAAATCAAAAAACTCTTTACTAAATCGTACCATGGTTGAGACGTCGTCTTTAATGAAAAGCCAAATAAAGTAAATGGACAGACGATAATTTTTTAAATACCTCTACTATACTTATACATAGAGTTATATCATAGTAATTTAAAAAGCCACAGCCTTTTCTAAATTAAGTTGTTCCGATATAGGTATTTTATTTGCCCATATTTTTTCCATCACTTTCAACGTATTTCACTTACATTCTAAACTCATATTTCACTTTTGCATTCAAGTTCAATGACACGCAAACAAATGATGAAAAATTACTTATGATAGTCCAATCGGTCGAGTTTTTTCCAAGAACAATTGATACTATCCACTTCTAGTGTCTCCATTGAACCAGCTCTTCTCTAAAAGTGAAATATCTCTCGCTGACTAATAAGAGAATAAATACTGACGTGTACCTATACTAGGTATGATATGAGCGTTTTGAAGTGAAAATGATATACTAATTTTGAATGAGAAAGTAAAAAACAAAGTATTCAAACTATATACCATTGCTTTTTACATATTTTGACCACCTTTCTAGCAATTTGTGGATACCAAGTTCGTTTTTTAAAGCAAACCAATCAGACACCCAATTTTTGACTTTTGCGTAGGAATCGAAGTGCTGCTCACCCATTGCGTGTCCCATCGATAAAAACAAATGATAATCGGAAAAGACCATTTCTGGTGAATACGACGTGTGGGCTAGCAGCTCCCAGCCAAGTACTTTGATTGTATCCTGAACTGATTTTGCTTTGTGTACAGGTGCATTGTCGTGTAACAAAATTACTTTGCCATGTCTTCTGGCTCATTCTGGTCGTTTTCGACTAATACATGGTTCAAATTGATCATATGTTGTCTGTATCGATTAGTATAAACAGTTTCATCAGATTTTAGAAGCTCATTATATAACACAACCTTCTAATACCACCATTGCTTTCTTACCGAATCGATCTGGTTTTGCATTGTCGATGTTAATGGTTGTCCCGGATTAACCCATGATTTTCTCCGTTTATGTTTCTTAAAAGAATTCCATTTTTCATCGCTAATGCCAATTCGATGCAAAACTGATTTTCTTTCGTGTCTCAAAATTCCACAAGTTTTTTTTTCGGTTTTCCATTTGCCTTTCAATCAATGGCACCCATGTGAGAAATTGTTTGTTGTGCAACATTTAGCATGGCTGCCATTTGCTTTTGACTCAAGGTAACATCTTCATCCAATATTGTCTGCAGTTCAGCGTCTTCAAACTTTTTTGGTGGTCTTCCACGTTCTTCATTTTTCACATCAAAATCATTATCTCTGAACGGTTGATCTTTTGCATGTTGCTTCTGATAGCGCATGATCACCATATGCCTATACAAGCATTTGATGCGACTGTGCAGCACTTTTCTTCAAATGGAAACAAAAAATTAAAGCTTTCCGCAAATCATCATTTTCCCATACAGTGAAAAATATGATGTTATTCGCTCAATGACTATAAGGTTGTTGAATATGTTTGACTACCAAAACACATTCGTATCTTAACGCTCACTTTATACCGGTACACCTGGTATTTCTACGAGTATAAATTGTTGTCTAAATATATGCTTTAGTAGATAATCATCGAACATTAGCCATCTAATTTTCAATAAAACACAATAAACAATTTAAGGGATTTTCAGACCATTTCTTTTGTTGAGATGCTTGAATTTTTGTAAAAGAAATTTAAATGTTTAATCCCTTCTACTTATAATACTATATTTTTTCTAACTGATCATGGAGGAACAATTTGTGACCTAATTAGAATTTGCATAGCTTAAGTGCTGACATTTTCAAGATATTCCGATTTATTACTAATATATGAAAGCGCATAGTTAAGGTCAGTGTTTCAAATAACAAAAGTAGTAGATGCATAGAATACCATATTTTTTTTTATTATATTTGCAAAAAACATATATTTACAATAAAGAAAGGCTAGTTTGTCTATTGCCCGAAAGGCGTCGCTTCTCTCCCAGAAGAACGCATATGTCGCCTTAACTTACCGTCAATATCATATATAAATCAGAAGTCCTTTGGTAGGTATCTCCAAATTTACTATAAGCTTTAAAGTATTAAGTTCAGTGGAATGCAAACTGATTCCTTCACTCGAAGGTTGTATGTAGGTATAAAAATCTACCCGCCACTGTTATTGAAAATAATCAATAGATTGTATTCTAAAGAATGGATATATGGAAAACTTTCTTAAAAATCGATATATGTAATTTGTCTTAACTAGTTAATAAATGTCCCTAAAATCACTAATAATTTATAAAATAAGCTTAAGAATTTAAAAAGTAGCGTCCATACATACATTTACTCCATTTGTACCTTTAGTTTACCTTCTTCTTTGGGACCGTAAATAACTGAATATCTACTGGGTCTGCACCTATGAGATGATATTTGAGATATGGAAATTTCATCAGATGAAGCATTGTACTTGCCTTAAAATAGAAAGCAATTACAATAGTTTCCAAGTAAGTGAGATGCGACAAAATATAACTGCGCTGAAGTCCAAACATGACTCAGTTATAGCAAACTTCAGTGTTATATTTTACTGTTATTTTTTACTTTGCAACTAGCCGTGCGCTTGTTATACTCTCGCAACCTGTAGTTTTGTTTTTTGTTGTTTGTATCACTTAAAACTAATCGAGTTAGATATAGAGTTATGTATATATAAATTATCAGGATGAAGAGACAAGTTGAAATCCGGGTAACTGTCTGTCCGTCCGTCCGTCCGTGAAAGCTCTAACTTGAGTAAAAATTGAGATATCTTTATGAAACTTGGTAGACATGTTTCTTGGTACCGTGAGACGG